CATGCTCCCGCATCTGGTCGAGTCGGGCAGCGCGAGTTGGTGGAGACTCGTGTTCGCGAACATTTCCCGCATGCTCCCGCATCTGCTCGAGTCGAGCAGCGCGAGATGATGGAGACTCATGTTCACGAACGTTTGTGGCATATTCCCGCATCTGCTGGAGTCGTGTCATACGAGACGACGGGGACTCAGCAGCTCTCTTTTCAGATTTGCTAGCTGCAAGCCTACGCCGCTTTTGTTCCCTATCAACGCTAGACTCACGTGCTTGTAAAGTACGTCTACGGGTACTTTTGTTATTTATAAGCTCTTGACGTGAAGTAGGTGAAAGTTGGCTGTACCGTTGGGACATTCTTACTCTTGCTTCTATAAGGCGTTTTTCGCGTGCCTCAGGAGATTCGGCTTTTAATTTTTTAGCCCGAGCCTGAGCCCTTTTTGTTTTGCGAGATAATCCCATATTGTATGTTTTTATTTCTTAAAATGGTCTGATACCTATTGCCGAAAAAATCAGTACTAATGGAGAAGTACTTAATAATAATAAAAAAAAAACAGTTGAACTATAACTAAAAAAAAAATACAAAAAGAATAAGTGAGGATTGTTTAAAAGAATGTTACTTAAACTAACCAAAAATATCTACCTACCTAGTTATTTTATTAATAATTATTATTATATTATTAATTAATATGAATAATTTAAGAAAGAACCAAAAAAAAAAAACGGAAGAACGAGTTAATTAATTAGAAAGAACGAATAAATTTAAAGAGAGAAACACGAAAGAAAAAGAACGAGTTATTTATACTTTATAAGTTTCGCGTCAGATATAAGTTTCGCGTCAGACGACGAAGTATCGAAAAAATCGCTATTCAGAGACGACCGTCAACGACGTGTGCCCTTATGCGTGTGCCCGCATTCGGGCTGTATACTCGAGCATATCCCCCTCCGCACCGCGCCGCGCGCCGCATGCCAGGCCACGCCCTATCTTTTTGCTTGCTAACGCATGAGTTGCTTTGCGTTGACGCAGAATTAACATGTTTCCGTGAGAATTTTGAGAAAAAACGTATCCTATATTAATTATTACTCCCGTGATTGAAATGAATCTAATGATACCGCATACATATTTTTTTAAAGGGAAATTTAGAAAAAATATTATTATGTCTTTATCCCGTGGGACTTTTAGGATAAAATGTATCCTATGACACTCCCGTAATCAAGACAAATCTAACGATACCTCATACATCAAAATCCATCAAGCCGTTTAGGCTACAGGAGGTCACAAAGGAACAGACATACATACATACTTACATACACTCCCTCAACATTACCCTCCCTCTTTGGCAGTCGGGTAAAAACAACTGACACCGAGATCTACTCCAACAACACCAAAGGTCTGCCCTTGAGCCTTATTTATTGTCATTGCATAACACACCGATACTGGGAATTGCGTTCTTTTAAATTGGAATGGAAAATTATTTGGTATTATGGGAATTCTGGGAATAAAGATGGTTTCTCCTGCACCGCAACCTATTAAAATTTGAGCCTCGATTACATTTTGTTGCAACTGGGTTACTTTAAGCCGAGTTCCATTGCAAATTTGTGGTGGTCTTAAATTTCGGAGCAGAATAATCGGAATGCCAATTTTTAAACAAATTTCATGAGAAGGAAGTACGGGCATATTTAAAGAATTTAAAAATTCTATCGGGTAATTAGTGGCTTCTTGTTTATCGGCCATTCTATTTATTGAACTATAAACTTTGCTTTCCCCCTGGATATTCGACAGTATTTTATTATTAATCTCAGATGCCTGGTCATTGCGAGGAGTTAAAATGGACCTTTCGCATAGCCAAGAATTGTCCTTATTTAATATATTTGTTACGTCACCGTAAACTGACGATGTAAGATGTTGTTGGGATTGCACTATACAACACAACTTAGGCGTCAGAATAAGTTTTCCTTGGTGTAGCAGTGGATAGGTATCTTTGGTGAAGGTATTTTCTTTAATAATATATCAGAAAATTCACGATCATCCGGGTTATCTACAGTTCTCACTCGCATGTTTATAGTCAAATGCACCGATTGTATATCACGCCACAAATAAGAGCTTTTCAGGCAAGCCCTAACCTCAGCAGCTCGGGTTCCCCGTGGTATTACCGTTAAGGTTTGTCGGAAATCACCACAAAATAAAACTGTGATACCGCCCATGGGTCGATCATTTTGTCTTATATCTCTTAAAGTTCTGTCTACCGCTTCTACTCCTTTTCGATGGGCCATCGTACATTCATCCTATATGATTAAATTACACTTTGAACGAATATTTAAACACTACCAAAACAACTAATACGTGGTCCTAACTTTAGCTACCTTACACATAAAATCTAAGTGACTATTTGAACTAAAATATTCTTATAGAATTATAACCAGAAATATATACAACTCACAACAAAAAAGAAATGAAAATAAAGCTGAAACGCCTGTGCAATACTATCTACCTATACCTCCTTCACTTAAAAATAAATACTTATAACTACTTTAATTAATAAAAGTACCTACGCTTAATAATTTTTAATTTGAACGAATATTTAAACACTACCAAAACAACTAATACCTATTTTACAAAATAACAACAAAAGAAATTCAAATAAACTATTTAAAGACTAAAAGTCGCGCTGATAAGCACGGTTTCGGTCTCCCAGGCGCGGAGGAGCAGATGAGAAATCCTTATGGATACCCTACAGCCGGCTGCAAGGTTATGTCAGACTCGTACTGACTAAAAAAACACCCGTAGGGGCTGCCTCTGGCCGGGAAGGCCTCTAAGGCTTCATCGGAAGCGATCGTCCCCCAGGGGGAAGGGGAGCGACGCAGAAAACAGATTTAGACAGCTCGCTCTCGGACCTCCGCCTTTTGATACCCTACCGCTGCCGCGACCCGTGTCGAGCGCGGCAACCGTTACACAAAAATAATCCTTATAGCATGATTCAGTATTCACGTGCGACGGCGCGATGGCTTATTTCATGTATAAGTTTGGTGTTTCTATACCGATTTCTATGTTTTGTTTTTATTGAATAGGCAATAATGTTAACTTTTTTAAATTAGGGATGAGTCAGAGTATTATAAACGTAACGTAACGTAAACAAATATGATCAGAATGCTCCGAACTGCTAAGCTATTGGGAGTTACACGTGTTATTGTGAGTCAACCATAAAAGATAGACATATGCTGTTGCGGGATATTTTTTAGACAATTTTATGTAGAATATTTCCGTCATACATGATTTCTATGTAACTTTAATCATTAAGGCTGCACACGCGACGGAAGCTTAAAAAATGGAGTAACTTCTCCCGTTTTCCCAACATTTCCCTTCACTACTCTGCTCCTACTGATTGTAGCGTGATGAAAAGTATACTATAACCTGCCCAGGAGTATGAAGAATAATTGTACTAAGTTTCGTTAAAATCCGTCGAGTAGTTTTTGTTTGTATAAGGAACATACACACAGACAGACAGACAGACAGACAGACAGACAGACAAAAAATTTACTGATTGCATTTTTGGCATCAGTATCGATCACTAATCACCCCCTGATAGTTATTTTAAAAATATATTTCATGTACAGAATTGACATCTCTACAGATTTATTATACTTAAGTATAGATATAGATAATAACGGTCATTTTTGTTACCTGTATTTATAACCAAACTAAAATTCTCATATTTCCGTTTTCCAGTACTCATTTTCTACACGTTTTACATGATTTATTTGCTAATTTTGTTTACAAATGTTTGGTTTTTATTCTAAGATAAGCACGGTTTCTCAATATCAATTATTGTCTGTCAATAAGGTCGAACGCTCTGAACGCATCAACAGCCAAATATTGAATGAAGCTCGCTTTCTTTTTTTTTGTTTCCTCCCAGGCGGGGGAGCGGGTGTGAAATCCTCATGGATACCCTACAGCCGGCTGTAGAGTTATGTCAGACTCTTACTGACTAAAACACACCCGTGGGGGGTGCCTATGGCCTTAGGGGCCTTACAGGCTTCATCTGATGCGATCAACCCTGAGAAGGGGATGATGCAGCGCTGCCTTAGTATATACTACTGCATAGTGCGCTTAGAGGACGGATGCACCCTGATGTGCATCCGTATCGGTTTGGGACTGAGCGACTGAAGGTCTCTCAGGATCGGGGGGAGCGGGGAAGCTCGCTTTCGGACCTCCCGCCTTTTTATACCCTACCGCGCCGCCACGACCCGTGTCGAGCGCGGCAGCCGTTACACAAAAATAATCCTTAAAGCATGATTCAGTATTCACGTGCGACGGCGCGATGGCTTATTTCATGTTTAAGTTTGGTGTTTCTATACCGATTTCTATGAGTCTTTTTTTATTGAATAGGTAATAATGTTAACTTTTTTAAATTATGGATGGGTGAGAGTATTATAAACGTAAGAGTAAACAAATATAATCAGAATGTTCCGAACTGCTAAGCTATCAGGAGTTACACGTGTTATTGTGAGTCAACCATAAAAGATAGACATATGCTGTTGCGGGATATTTTCTAGAAAATTTTATGTAGAATATTTCCGTCATACATGATTTCTATGTAACTTTAACCATTAAGGCTGCACACGCGACGGAAGCTTAAAAAATGGAGTAACTTCTCCCGTTTTCCCAACATTTCCCTTCACTACTCTGCTCCTATTGATTGTAGCGTGATGAAAAGTATACTATAACCTGCCCAGGAGTATGAAGAATAATTGTACTAAGTTTCGTTAAAATCCGTCGAGTAGTTTTTGTTTCTATAAGGAACAAACACACAGACAGACAGACAGACAGACAAAAATTTTACTGATTGCATTTTTGGCATCAGTATCGATCACTTATCACCCCCTGATAGTTATTTTGAAAATATATTTCATGTACAGAATTGACCTCTCTACAGATTTATTATAAGTATAGAATAGATTACACGTAAGGGAGTGACAGTATCGGTAATGTTGGTATATTTGTGGTACACAGTACGCAGGCGGCGTGGCGTGCCTGGCGGCGAGCGAGGTGGCGTACGGCGCGTGGATGGCGGCGTCGCTCGCGGCGTGGTGGCGCAGCGCCCCGCAGGCCGAGCTCGCGCGCCGCGGCATGGACCTCGTGCACGACCTCAAGCCCGCGCTCCTCGCCGTCGAACGGTACCGGGACTTCGCGCAACCCGTATACCACATGATCGAGGTATTGTCATCAGCTTGTTATCATAATTACTGCTTTCTCACAAGTCTTCCCTATGGATGTATTATGAAGAATGCTCATTGCGGATTGGTGGGTGCCAACGGCTGCAGATGCAGCGTTGACCAACAGCTTAACGCGCTTCCAAAGCACGGATCAGATAGAGATAATAAACTTTTGGTCACCCATCCGATGATGGCAATGTCTGTACTCCTGAATCCGATTTTCGATCACATTAAAAATGGATTATTTTAACTATTCTATGGGCGTTTGTTGTTTGGGCGTCTCTGATTTCCATAACACAACTCTCTTAGCTATTGACCCTGAGATCAGAGCACTGTATCCGTACGAATATTTACTAGGTATTGTAATGTAGTGTTAAGACAATCTACAAGATTCAATTTGGGCGCGAAGGTGCATATTAGGTTTCCGGAAGTTACACGAAAGTCGCCCCTTTAATATCATTGGCTGGTTTTTGCAGCAGCCGACACTTCAGTAAATTTCTTTTCGAAATTTTAAATAAGTTTTTGAAATTAATATTTGTTGAGAATACATTTTCACACCTGTAATTTTTTTTTACTTTGCCCGGCGCCTTTCTCGGGCAACATGCAGGGAGCTACTCGTGGCAGTATCTTTACTTCGTTGCTGTGATTGTTCTACAACTCCCTGTGTTGTGTTTTCAGGAGGTGGAGCGTGAGGCGCCTAACAACGTATACGTGATCGTGTTGTTCGGATTCGTGGGCGCCGTGCTGCAGGTATTAAACAACAACAAATCATTATATAGATATTAACGGGATTGTTACCATGTACCTTGTTTTTTATGAGTCTCTGTTACGCCGTGATCATGGCGCTTGCAACAGTGCCGAAATATCGGAGACTCATAAAAAACAAGGTACATGGTACCAATCCCGTTAATATTTATAATATTAGTGACCATGAAAGTTTAAAACAATAAATCATTATACTTCATCATCTCCTCCTCATTTAATGTTAAGAGCCTTTGCGTTTTGTCACTGGATCGAAAATATTTTGTTGGAGTTTACTCCTTAAGAATCGATTTGCATAAATAAGGGGCCCGGTATGAGAAAAATGTGAGTTAAATCTATCAATGAATGACCTCGTTACGTTTTTGGTGCGCATCCTGTTCGAGCCAAAATGACTCTTAAATCCGAGAGCTTAGGTGCAAAAGAATTAAATTGAAACTACAGTGTATTTTGTCAGACCATAGATTTCTTTATTTGTTAGGTTAGGCTTGTTGAAAATATATCGATATATCGATATTTTTTGTCCGATATACCGATATTTTTTGATTCGATATATCGATACATCGATACAAAATAACCAATATCGAAATTTGTATCAAAAACGATATTTTTTTAATTATTAGCGGCATATCACGATCTAACTAAATTCGAATCTGGAAAAATCGTAACTGGATCTCAGATTAATGATATTCAACATGTCTATGATCTGTGCTGTATTTAGTATTGTCTATGTCATCATTCGAAAATAGGGTCTATTTTTAGGTAGGGACACGAAAAAAGTATCGATACTTTGTGGTATCGAGTACTTTTCCTTTCGATACCGATACTTTTGTACTCGATACTTGGTTTTCGATACTTCAACTAAATAACTAAACTAAAAAAAGTATCGATACCTTTAAAAATTTGGATAAGCGCCTTATATTGATAGCAACGCCATCTAGTGGTATCATAGCAACTCTTCTAAAACATTCGATTGCGTTGATATAATTAGAAGCAGAAGCAATCTAGTGTGTCCTGAGACTTACGTACTTGAGTAATTCACGTTTAGTTTGCAGTTGATTATATTAACATTACACGTTTTTAAGAGTATCTACATTGCTTATAAGGTCCTATGAAATGTACTCGATACTTTGAAGTATCGATACTTTTGTTTCAATACTTTTACGAGTACGATACTTTTTTTCCGATACTACTCATGAGTACAGTATCGATACTTTCTATTCGATATCGTGTCCCTATTTTTAGGGAGATAATTTTCGTTCCATTATTATTCCGCGTGTCATATTTCGTGAGCTATTACGGTATTTAGTACGATATTTTTGGGAAAATTAGTCCGATATATCGATGTTTTTTTCGCGATATATCGAAGCCGATATTGATATTTTTTAAAAGACCGATGTATCGATATTTTTTTCAACTTTCGACATCCCTAAGTTAGGTGACGTTTTGCCTATATGTAGCTCCAAACATATTTACAAGCGTGATGCAACGAACTACAGCGCCATCTATTTTGATACATATGAACTAAAATTTTAAATGCACAAATGGCGTATACATAATCGCCCACCAAGGACAAACTGAGATTTGTCCATACAAATGTTTAACTTAACAACATGACTCTGTTATCGCCCACCGTGACTTAAGGTAACAAAACAAATAAAAACACTAAGATGTAAAATAACTTAAAATAATATATTTATGCACATCTGAAATTGACTATTGTAAAAAGTTTAATGTAAAATATTTCGTCAATTAGTTATAATAAATGTATATGAAATGAATAAATATATATTTATATATGTATATTATTTTCATTAATTTGTTAATTTACCCCGTCATACAGTAATAATCTTTTTTAAGTTAAATAAGCTGTTATTGCGTCTTGTTAGACTATTGAACTTAAGGAGTAAACTCCAGTCGTGCGTCGGCGCTGACACACACAATTTTTTTTAGCTTTGTTTTTACCTATGATTGGTGCCGGGCGAATGATGCTTCCATGCATAAGCTTTATAATGTTATGTTTAATGTCTTACGCCTTAACTTACATAGTTCCCAACCGATTATCATATTATTTTTGTTAAATAGAAATCAACAGTTCAAGACGCAGATTGTGACGGAGACGGAATTTTGAAATCACGAAAATACAAATGAAAAAATATTAAATGATATTACCACGCTTCACTCCAATAAAATGGTATACTTAAATGGTTTTAATGAGTGAGAAATGAGTTTCACATGTCACATGTTTTGCAATTGGTTGTAAAACTGCATCAATTGCATTTCATTGATTTACGGAATAAATGCCAAGAAGGCGTAAACATTCAGGATTTTAATGTTTTTAAATGGAGCTGGAATTAAAATCTGCGCGTCGAATAAAGAGTTGTGTGTGTTGTGTTGTGCAACGCTTTAGGTTAACGTTGTGCAAGGTGATAGTGCAGTCAATGTCATTATCTTTACTAATATCGCTTTATCGGCCGTTTTTTTATATAAATGGGTCCGATAAATGACTCTACCCTACCTGATGTTAAACGGTGCAGTCCAGGCACGAAGATAGCTAGGTCTGCTTGCTACAGCAGTCATCCTCACTTTGTCGGCTTGCGTATTGATTCTTCACGCTTCTTTTAAAGGATTCTGGTTTTAGGAGGGAAGGAACACGTGAGCGGGTAAAGCGTTCCATTAGCGGACAGTGCGACAAAGAAATGAGTCAACAAAATTCTTTGTTCGCGTTGGAATAGTAGCTACAGTAAGTCGGTGACAACGTAGGCCAGCGTGCGTGGTTCTCTGAGACAAGGGGAATGTGGTATAAGGGAGAATTTTACTTTATAATTGGACAAGGAACGGCCATTCTTCTCTGTATGTCTATGTGTTAGGCCGCACTAAGGCGAAACTGCCGCGGTTTTATACCGCTATTTATTTTGAAACCGTGATTTGTTACAGAATGGCTCGCGGTTAAAAACCGCGCCCTAATTTGTAGTCCATACAATATATAGTGACGCGCACACATTGATGCGGTAACCGCGGGCGGTTTCTATCATTATTCGTCAGACCGCCCCCGTGAAGAGCCGTTGTGTTGTATGTAGGTATCGCGTCGTAACTATGTCGTCGACTGAGAACTTTATCGAAGCTGGCTACTGACATCCGATAGTAGTTGAAAAAATTCTCATTATATTTTCTTAAATCTTGATACTTCTTATGAAAGAAACCTTTCTTAAATCTTCTGCTAGTTAGTGGATGGACCCAATATTTACGAAATTTGTGACGACGTTTTCTTTTTCAATTTCTTAGTATTAAAGCAACAATACATACAGCTCTCTCGAAATCCATCCTCAAACTGTGATAAATCGTGTCTAGTTTCGCGGTTTTAAATCGTAGCGTGTGTATTTCGGGCGGTTTCGCGGTTTTGCGGTTTACCGCTTGCGGGAAAAAACCGTAGTGCGGCCTAGCACATGACGCTGTTAATCCTTGTACAGGTGGCCGCTTTTGTGATGGCGTGTCGGCTGGCACGGCGGGGCAGCGCGGGGGTGCCGACGATGCTGAAGCCGGGTGCGGGCGCGGGCGCGGGCGCGGGCGCGGAGTGCGCATGCGCGTGCGAGGGCAAGGAGAGCGCGCAGAAGCTGCGCGGCGTGGAGGTGCGCGCGTGCGACGACGACAGCGACGCGGGCGCCGACCCGCCGCCGCCCGGGTGGAGGAAGCGCGCCAACATCGGCATGTACACAATACTCGACAAGATTTTCTAGCAGGTACGCGTTCTATTATGTTTAACTTTAAGATATTTTTGAAGTTATACTTCTTTAGGCGCGTTATGAAAAAATGATGAGAGTGAAATTTTAAGATGCGCGCGCATCACTGTAACACAAAAAATTAATGCTGTTACTTTTGTGTTTACCGCACATTAAGAAAATCTACCAACAAAATAGAAATAGAATCTCTATTTAGTGGGTGCTAACGACTGCATTGTGAAGGTCTATCAAAAGTATTTATTAATCTTCAGGAGACTACAGCGCCATCTCTTGACCATTGGTGTAGTAGAACCAAAAACCACATCTTTATTTTTTGTAATAAAGTAACAGTTATAGGTATTCATATTTATAATATTTATCCACATGTTTCTAGTTTGTATATTCGGAATACGTGTTTGTGTTTCATACAAGTGTAAATCACATATGTTCTAATAAATTGTATTCAGTAGCGATTTTAATTGAATATTTTGATTATTTATTTATTTTTTCAAATTAAAACTGAACTTTATTGACTGTGTCCTTTTCCAGACTTTTTATTAATTTATTGTAATTAATTATTTGCATGCAATTAAAAACTAATTTTAAACGATGCCAAAGAAGGATAACTTCTCACGCGCCTACATAAGTACACGCACCCATTTTTTTCAGTGTGAAACTTCTTTTCGGACGTGGAGTAAATGGAAAAATCCTACGGAAAAGATGAAACGGAAATGCATCACGAGCGTTACATGACTATATCTGTGGTTGTGGAATGCGTGTGCAGCTCTTCCAATTCCAAACCAATTTGGTGCTCCTTCTTTATTTTCCTACTTATAATGTTTTTTAAAGCATCGGTTCAAATCCAGGCTGATCCCATTTACCTAGGCTTTCCAAAATAATAATAATAATAACTTTATTTGGAACAAGTGCAATGTTAAGAAATCACAAATTTAAATTTGTTATTTCTTCTTTTTAATGTTTATTACTTGTAAAGGTATTCGCTTGACATTGTGAGTTAGTTACCTTCGATGCGCAAGATGATACTGTCTTGTAACCTAGGAAATACTAGAAGAAATTCGACACGGCCGTTAAGGCCGCCTAGCATAATCGTTTAGTGCATCGGCCCGGATAGCGGAGGGTGCGGGTTCCGAGTCCCCACTTCTGTCTGCTCGTTTGGAATTTATTCTAGTAAAATTGTCTTTAGATTGAAACATTAAAATGGAATCTCTTATCTATTAGACAAGTCCGTCCGTCCGTCGGTGGTGCTGTTTCAGCGGCCAAACCGTAAGAGAAAGATAAAGAGAATATTTAAGTTATAAGTTATGAATAGTCTGATAAGACTACAAACCGGATTTGAGTAACGTAGCACTTCCGGTTTTCGAGAAATCACGAATTTCAAACGAAACCACACAAAATCTCCGAAGTTCTCAATTAATTAAATACATTTTTTTTTAAATCAGGTTTTGGTGAACATTTGGTTCATTGGTTTGCTAGTGTCTTTTAATTTGTTACAGGACGCAGAAGCGGCAGCCGCAGGTGTCGTCCCGCCGTCCCGTCGTCGGACGCGGACGCGGCGCCGCGCGCGCCCCCCGCGCCGCCCCGCACCTCACCTGCCTCCCTCACCACCCTCCCCACCCTCCCCACCCTCCCCGCCGCCGCTGCCCCGCCGCGACGCCCACTGGGACGCGGTCAACGCCCAGCTCCGCGCCGCGAGATCCTCGCTCTCCCTACATTCATCCAGTAGCGTGCCCCACTTGTCCCACGTGCCCCACGCGTTCCCCACGCCCCGCTCGTCGCGGCGGCCCCGCGTGCCCCGCGCCCCCACCCCCACGGCGCCCCCCGCCCCCGCCCCCACCCTGCTGATCTTGCACGCCGACATCTAACCGCAGCATCGTATCGCATCTTCTTTGCTTCTTAGTCCTGGAAGAACGGCCAGCATCGATACCCGGCCACCTATCGCCGGAAACGAATGAGCCGACCGAAGCGTGACGGCTGAGATATTTCTGGATATCTTTGGAAGACATGACAGACGACACTTCATGAAATTATGTAGATTAGACGAATAATAATTAACTACACTCATGCAAATTATTTTCACACTCCAGAATATTGTTGACTTAAACTGAAACCGAAACGATAAGATCTCTAAGATGCCTGAGAAAAACTCTTACGCTAACCGAAAGATTGTATCGATAGCCCTGTCCAATCTAAGAATTAAAGGACACCCGGCATTTTGTGCCAAAGTTGTATACTTTTTTAATTTTTTCATCTTTGTTTCATAATAGGCTAGTTGACCCTTTTTGGAAAAAGGTTTTAAATGGTAAATAAATGTTCTATTAGACCGAAAAAAAATGTATTGTATTTTTTTCAGACCTAGAAAGCTACAAATCTTTAATTTTAAAATAGAATTTTCATGGACATACAAAAACGCTGTCGGCCATTTTAGTCTATAGATTGTCTATGCTATGATGTCAATTATAGTAAACAAAAACTCGTAAGCACGTAGAAAATAACTTATCCGAGTTTATGATAAAAAGAACACGATTTCTAATAAATACCACGAAAAATAAAGTAATTATCATTATTGTATTGTACGAGTATATAAAAACACATCCTTGAAGACTCCAGGAATGTTATGGATTAAAGTGCCGAAAGAAATTAACCTACGCAACTTTATTACACTTATTCATATGTTGTATCAGTTTTATGTTTATTACTACATTGTAATACTAAATGCACTGTACTTACATAGATGCCTTGTCGTTTCTCTGCTCCGCAGAGCAAAAATGGGGATTTAGTGCAAAAAATTCACCAACCATCAATGCGTCAATTCTTGGCAGATTTGTGCTTTCTGCTTTCACAAAGCCGGCATCCATAATTAGTTTTGTCAAAAAAAAAAAGTAAACGGAAACTTTTCTAAAGTTAAAAGTGTTTTAAGATAAATTTATTCAGACTAAAGAATCCACCCACAATAACACGCGAATGACATTTAGTTGTTTACTGAAAGAGACGTCACAATCATGGCGGATGTGGCGAACAGCGTTTTTAGTGTTTAAAAAATATAGACTAAAAAATATTTTTTTAAATTAAATTTCTACAGCAATCTTCTGCTTTTATGAAGTGAAATCGATATATTTAGGTTCCTTAGACCAAATACTGTAAGAAATAAACATTTATTTAATACAATTCGATATGAGTCAACTAGCCTATTGGGTAAGGTAGTTTGGCAATATTTGTCATCAGCAGCTAGCTGTCAATGTCAAATACGTATGTTTGTCATCAAAAGGGTTTCTATATCAAAAAATATTAATCATTAAATAACTTCTTTCCACGATTCACTAAAAATAATGCAAAAGTAGTTTTATGTAGCAAATAATTTTGGCTTTATTTTGAGACCAAATTCAACTGTATACAAGTTTAGCATTTTTTCTATGAAAAGTGCCGGGTCTCCTTTATAAAAATGTAGTCTTGCGATAATACTGTGTGCCATGATCCTACCCGGACCCCAAGCACCAACAGCGAGAAAGTATTTCGTATCGTCACGTCGGAGTTTCTATGGAAAAAGTTTGTTTGTTCTTGCGTCCGGTAGGCGACTGGAGGCGCTTCTTAGTTTTACATAAAACCTTTGATTGTAAGCTTTTGCAGTTGTAAAATTACCACAAAGCTTAAGAGAAAAGTAACAACGCCAGAGTGCAAGTTATGGAATTATATTATATATTATAATGCGTATGATGGCCTCCTCACATCAGATGAAACGAGTGATTGAATAATTTAGATAAATAAGTGAATTTGAAATTATGAAGCGCTTTTTTGGTCGTTGCCATTCTAAATAATATCGAGTGACTGAGATTGCGTTCCGACATTCCAACGATCTTGAATACTTATGTTTTTACAATTATTATTGTTCAACGTCTCGTAGGTACTTATATTTAACTTAGTTATTTCATATTAACATTGTGATCCATTTATTTTTTAAACAATTGTCTTTTGTATCGTAACTGACAGAGGCGTCTATTTCTCTTCCTTAATATGCGACGACTCTATGAAATATTTATTTTGATAACGAAATCAGACTGCCATATTATTAGTAAGTACCTAGTAGTTAATGTTTTAGTGAATAATTGTTTAAATTTGAACCTAGTGATATAATTATAGTGGAGTAAGTAGATTGTTATTGGATGCTCATATCAATACGTCTTCACTTGCGAACGAACAATACCTATTATACTGCGTATCTATTAATTATAGTTGTATGTACGTTATACCCACATAGAAGTTGTTATATCAGTGTTAAAGACGTGTTATATTATAAAATTATAATGTAAAATGTAACTGGTCTGTAGGTGCAGGTGTAGCACCTCCCCTACGTAATGTCACGTATTCTGACGTGTTTTTATAAGTTGTGGTATTAACGTATGGAGTCCTCTTGCCTTGTAGCGGGAGTCTGAGAGAGACCTATGGTGCTATTCTTCGACAACCACTTAGAGCTGCGTTCGACTGATGTGATTACATTTAGCTGTGATTTGATTTAAAAAGTACGCACGCTATCGCGAACGTTTTCTAGTGATGCAACGAATACCAGGTATTTACGACTACGTATTTCGGAACAGTCAGTGAATACGAACGTTTGATACTTAGTCAATACACACTGTAATTAACTTAAAAAGCCAACTTCCGGCTCATGCTGTATTATGTAAAACCTTTGAACAGGTCACCGAGAGATGCCTATGACCGTTGTGTGTAAAAACATTACGGATTGTAATTTGTCGAATATTTTCATCTTTAATGAAAATTTTGTGGCGAATTCGCTCGTTGGTATTCATTGCATTGCTAGTTGGTACTTTCACTTTGTCACGATTCCAAACTGTGATCAGTTTAAGGCATAACTAAACTGAGATTCGAAGTGGGAACTTGACTAAGTGACAGTGTTCTGCGTAGAGAAGTGTCGTACGCTCCGCCCTCACTTCCAGTAAGGTTGTTTCGCTGTCATAGGTGCCAAATAGGTTGTAAGTTGGCTCGCCGCGTCGGCCATCAGCGCTACGCACAACCCAATACTTGCCATTTTTTTTAAACGAATCAGATGTTTAGTTCTGTGTGTGCCACGTAATTTTGCTGGACAAAGGCAGAACGACATTTCCCTTGTGATACATTTTCGTAATTATAGTAAATTGTGATAGTGTGACGTTATTTTAAGTATTCTGCCTGCGTCCCGTGAGTCGTGCGTGAGTGAATGAGGGTGTCGATCGAGTATTCGAGTTAGACAATAAACGCACACGCGCTGTTGCCGCGCGGCACCCGCATACTGTACACGAGTACACGACACATAACTATGTACTAGTTTGTAAGTTAAAAAGCAATAAAATTTTATTTTTTCATCTTTCTTTTATTTAATATCAATAATTTTGCCGACTTAGAAATGATATTATAAAGAAAATATAACTAGAAAACAATCCACGCGGACCAGGCAGCAGACGGGACACGAACCCGCAACCTGCGCTATCCAGGCGAATGCACTGACCAATTATGCTACCGCAGCCCTGATGGCCGCGTCGAAATTCTTCTAGCCATTCTTAAGCTGCAAGGCAGCGCCATCTTTTCGTATTGTAGACCTGGTCCGCGTGTATTTTTTTCTCGTTATATTTTCTCTAGATTTAAACATCAAGCAGTTACATGCTCATCATCGGAGATAATTGACAAAACTAACTATCGAAACTAGTTTTATAATTCGGTGAGTTATGTCGGTGACTCTGGTCCTCTGTCGGATTACATCATTTCTGATGGGGTCCTTCAGGGATACTCCGATAATAGCCCTTTCCATAGCTCTCTGAGCGACTTTAAACCGATGGACCAGTCCAGCCGCGAGTGTCCACGTCTCGGCGCCGTATGTCATAACTGGGAGGACGCACTGGTCGAAGACTTTCGACTTGAACATTGGGGGATGGGTGACGAGAAGACTTCGATTCGCGGACGATATCTTCATCCTGGCTGAAACCCTGCAAGACCTACAGGAGTGGGCAGCCTGGCTGTATCTTCCAAACGCATCAGTCTCCGGATGAACTTGGATAAAACCAAGGTCATGTTCAACGAGCTCGTTGATCTGGGACTGGTTGCTGTGATTGGAGTACCTCTCGAAGTTGTTCGGGAATATATCTGTCTAGAACAACCGCTTAGACAGAAACAACTTCGAGAGAGAAGCCAATAGAAGAATTCAGTTGGGCTGGGCAGCATTTCGTAGGCTTCGTCAAGTCTTCTCGTCACGGATCAATATTAGGTACTTTATTATTTTTAACATATATTAATGACCCAGCTTACTAGACGAGCACCTTATGTGAAGCAGTGTTAATTGCTGACAATACTTCTTTAGCTTTTAAGTTGACAGAGGTAAAAATTGTTCGGTCCTCAGAATGCGTGTCGGGTGACCGATGCAGGAGTCTGTTGTCTGGTTTTTACCGCTCTGGTAGGGCCCTGTTCATTTCATCGTTCAAAGCTGGGTGAAATGAACGGGGAGGAGTCCCGGATACCTTCTTCATGCTCCCGCAGTGGCTGATGGATGCGTAAGGCATTTCCCAGACATTAAAGAAAAGGTTGATACATCTTTAAAGATGAATGATGAAGAAGCATCTCTTGTTGAGAGTGCAGTTGAAGCTTTTAGGCATAATTTTAGATTCTAGATTAGAATGGTGTACTCATATTGATGCTCTGTCAAGCAGACTTAGTTCAGTGGCGTATGCAAGATTACTTATAATATGATCAAAGTGCCTGGGAATAAATAAATATTTCCAACCCTCACACCAATAAGCCTAATAATGAACACTTCGCTCATTGATATGCAGTATGAAAAGTCCTGTCAGTAAATCTACGTGTAACTGTGTAACACATAATTATTGTATGTAATAAAATACATCACTGTAAATTGTATTGGTAGCGACATAATTTTATGTAAATGTCGTTTCTTCTGTTGTGCTTATTAGTTTCTTGTGCCCATTCTTCTCATCAGCTAAAAGGCGATTGGAAAAAATATTGGAAGATTCAAAAGAGTTTTCAATGACTCAATTTGGATAAAACATATTTTCATTTAATTTCATATTGATTTATTTTCTTTTGATACTTGTAAAATACTCTCTTTTCACGTGTGAAGAAAATTTGTAATTAAAGAAAAAAATTCTTTAATTACAAAATTTTGCATGTAGGCACATAATTTTACGTGCAAAAAGACTTCACGTCTGCAGCAGTATAATTTAAATGGTGCAATCAGCTTAATTCTGTTTGTAAGTCGTATTCCACCTGACGTCGCCTTCTCAGTAAGCCCGCTTGATTAATAACGCGATACCATCGATAAGATAGCGGCCACGAAATCGGCTTCGGAGACGAGCCACAACCAGTGTCAGCGGAACAAGTCGTTCAACGCGCATTCTTAACGTTCACCTTCAAAATATCAACTCGCGACAGGAAAATGGCATGTGCCTTATACTCCGTGTACTGTACATAGTCGGTCCCAGGCCAACGAACAGGCGTGATCGGTCAGTTGATAATGAGTGAGTCTTAGTAGAACTGTGTATTACCAGTGTTGTGTGTACATGACTCGCTAGAGGGCGCAGTGTGAGCAGGATGACAGGCTGCGGCTCGAGTGCGGGCGGTGGCGGTGGCGGCGGCGGCGGCTGCTGCGCGCGAGTCTCCGCGGCGCTGCTGGCACATGTCAACATTCTTTTAGTGGTAGGACATAAGCGAACTTTGCTAAGATCTCTTATCTATTAGACAAGTCCGTCCGTCCGTCTGTCTATGGTGCTGTTTCAGCGGCCAAACCGTAAGAGATAGATAAAGAGAATGTTTAAGTTATAAGTTAAGAATAGTCTGATAAGACTACAAACTGGATTTGAGTAACGTAGCACTTCCGGTTTTCGAGAAATCACGAATTTCAAACGAAACCACACAAAATCTCCGAAGTTCTCAATTAATTAAATACATTTTTTTTTTTAAATCAGGTTTTGGTGAACATTTGGTTTACTGGTTTGCTAGTATTTACCTATTTGATTATGAAATAAAACAAGTTTCAAGGCTTTTTCAAAAGAGTCTTTCGAAGGTAGCTCGACGAAGTAAATAAAATCATAATTCAGACGACGCACCCTGAAAACGATGCGAAACTTCAATAAATAAATAATAAATTAGTGCATCTATACTTTGTTTTAATCTAAGATCTATACCGTTGAAACTTGTTTTATTTAATGAGTAGTGTGCGTGAAAACCTAAGAAACAAATATATTTGATAATTCTTTCCAGAAGTGTGAAAGCCGTTCGATGTTGGTCATTGAGAGTGGAACGAGTGAGAGACTGACTGCGGTTATAAGGCTTAATAATTAAGCTCTACATGAGCTTATATATGGGGAAGAGATGAGTGTGTGCAAATATTGATATGCTTCACATACTATAGAGGGAAATAGTCAATTCTCTTGTTAATAGTGAAAAAGCGCGTGGAAAAACCACGATGACTTTAATATAGGTATTGAGGCCATAAGAATGAGGATGCTTCTCTAGAACAGAATACTCTTTACTTGCATTATATAGGGTTGACAAAAGGTGTTTCAATATAAAGCATATATTAACCTAAGAAACTTAAACCTATTTATTAAAATATAACAGTCATATTACAGTGTTCTCATTATACCTATTATTCATTTAATAACTTTACCCGACATATTCTGAAAATCTGAGGCTAAGACTGTCTCAGAGGTATAGGTATATTATGAACTTTTAACCCTGGGTGAAAACAGCTATTGAGCAGGATGCTGCTCTACTGTGTGTAATGTGATGTCTTGCTCTAACAACGGAACTTAACTGGAATTAAGAGTTCATAATACGACCTCTGGTCACTTTTAGTGCTCAGCAGGTGTTAATATCAGTGATTGTATATAATATAATATAATATAAATGACCAGTGTTAGATTCAATGTCAAAGATAGCATATTTTTATTCAAATAGGATGTATCATCATATTTATCTATAACTCTTCTAAACCATCAACGATTGATGAATGAAATGATAAGATATTGCTGTGGACCTAAAAAAGATGACCCTCATCTTTTACTAAATTAAACAGGAGCAGCTTGCTTACTTTGAGAAATTATGGACGATGGTTTATTTTTTCACATTTCTGAATCTTGATACAACAACTAGAAGGACTGATAAGTGATTCTATGTGGGTAATTAACCTAAAAACTTGTTCACCTGCTGTTTAAAACTGAGTCATTCCGAGTGATAAGGAAGATAAGATACTTCGTTTTGCGATATCTAACAATGTACATAAACAGAAACTATCATAAGTTGATATGGAGGGACCCTCGCTTGCGGTCGTCAAAACAGTTGTATTCTATTTTTTTTCTACACACCAATTAGCCCAGCCCCAAAAGAAATCAGTGTGTTATGGGTTGCTAGGCTAACGGATATAATACATATAGTGGTACCTATATAAGTATATTTTATTCAGAAATATATATATTAACATCCATGATTAAGGTACAAATGCTAGTATTCATCATACTAATATTTTCCCCCACAGGGATACAAACCTGGTACCTTTGGGTGGCGACACCTTCTAACCCGGCGTATATACCACTCAGCCACGGAGGACGTCGATATTCATTCAATTTGTATAAAGAATGTTTATTTAACTTTGACTTTGTTGATCACGCGCTTCCGACGCAAACGATGTTAGGCTTAACCCAAAACACCTATTTGGTTAACTGTAAATGCAAGTTTTATAGCTGCGTTTCTGGAATTACTTTCTCTTAATTAATGAGCGCGGTCCTCTTCCTATACTATTTTCTTCAGAAGATGAATTGATTGGAAACGAGTGTAATAGAAGTTAGGAGCTCGGTTCCGTATTGGTTAACGTGTTCGCTGTGCTATCATTGAAAGCGACTTGCACTGTTTCTTGTTGCTGTGTGCTTCCAAAGGCACGCTTAAACAGTTGGCCTGACTGTATCTGCAGGCTTTACCACCAACCATTCGCATTAGGCTCACATGGTGGGTAATGATCTATTCTCCCTGTTCCATACATTTGGGAAGGCTTGAGTTCCATCAGAAGGGACATGAATAAGCTGATTGGGGATGTTGAGGAACAAGTATAATATAAGGGTATGAGTTAGGATGTACCCAGTGTTGCAAAAGTGAAAAATTCAAAATCGCCTAATTTTCCTTTTAATAATCTGGAGAAACCGGGAGTTTTTTTTGTAAAAATAAAACAACAGTATTTTATGCTATTAATTAAAGTAATTTATTAAAAACATAATACGGTAAAATAATTGGTAATTATTCATTTTCGTTTCGCTTAACTCCTATTAATAGAATCATCGGACTCGGACATCGTAACTTACAGCAC